GAACAAGCGGCTGAGATGTGGAGCGAGAGGGGAAAGAAGTCTCTGGAGACCATGCTAGGACTGACATTTTCGAGGAGTTTTCAACTTTGGATTTTTTGTGGGCGCCAAGACCAAGATTTCGGCTAATTAGCCAGGAGGGCTTCTTTTGTCGATGAGTCAACGGCACTCCCCAGCGCCCTGTACGGTACAAAAGAAGTTAGGCTAAGCTACTATACAGCAATCACGCTCTGTCAAGACTTTTCTGACATTTCAGCACGACCTTCGGGAAGGAGTTGGAAGGAGGCTAGAAAGGCAGAGAGTGAATTTCCCGAGGTACCCACAAGTCTGCAGCGCCCAGCTGGCCGGCCTCTTCGAACGCTTCAGAAGGGGCAATATGTGTTCGGATTTATTCCTAATGTCGGTATCAGGAGAGCCCCGCACCCAGTGGTTTTTGCGAATTTTCCCGGCTGCCATACACCCGCAAATGGCCATCGTTTCGTTGGCTGGAGAGGGGAGATAATGAAGGGCGAAGGGCTCCTCTTAATGTATGATCGAATGAGGACTTGTGAGGGGAGCTGTATGGGAGGCATAGGAGGGGATATACTCCTGGTATAGGTATCCTTTGCCTGTAGGCAGAGAGGACCTGCATGTTCTACATAGACATAGACTCAGACAGGACAATAAAATGAATTAATAATAATTTACAATTGACTTGTTCTCCCTATTTTATTCATTCTATCACGTGACACCTAACGGTTTGCGCAACTTGCGTTTACACTCACAATTAATCGGAGATTAGTGTCGTGTATTCTACACATCACTAACTTTACCATAATTGGAAGCACCAATTTCAACAGTCATTTTAGATCGTCCACAGCTTATCAAGAACATCCATTTGATCCCATCTAGCATCGCTCTCGTAACTCCCTCTCTTGACCAGGCTCCTGAGCTCCTTCAAGCAGCTGTAGCTCTACAGCCCATGACAGGAATTTTTCGAATGAAAGGCAGGAAAAACGAACAAACTTTCTTCTCGGCCTGGTCTCGAAGAAAGGGTACAATTCATCCGAATCCCCTGGGGCATTATCAGTTGCTAAAATGTGATAGGAGCTGACAGCCGGCAAAATTGACACCAACTCAATATTCTTCACCTCGATGTGCTGCTCGCAGAAATCCCCTCAAGCGGAAGGAAAACTTTGACTTGCAATCTCCAAGCTTGCTTCGGAAAAACTCGCAAACAGTATCCGCCTCTTTGTGCAGTCTGCCAGAATTCTGCCAGCGAATCAACTTCCTCGTCTCCAGCTCTGCCCCCCCGCTGCCACGGCTTCTAAAACATCAACGCTTGCACACCCCGGGCACAATGTAGTCTATGCGCATCAGAATATCACAATGAACTGCGTATGACACCCATTAAATGCCTAAATTACGCCAGCCCTCATGAGGCCTCCTCTCCTGGTTGTTCAGCCCAATAACTTAGCGCTAATTGGGTCTTTGTTCGGCCAAATAAGGAGAGAGTGCACCTGATATACCAGGAGGGACAAGAAGCTTGGCTTGCCCTACATAATCCTCCGTCTCCTAGTCACCCTCTGACCGGGAGTCCGTCCTCACAATTCTCGCTGTCAGAGAACTCGGCGTCTGGGTTAACTCCTCTGGGTACCCTTGACAAATTATTGTGAGTGATTTAAACTCGGGTCAAAGAAAGCATTAAATTACAAACTCCTGCTCAAATTCAACATTTGTAGACGAGGCCCTGCTAACAAGGATGCCCTCGCCTTCGGGAAATGAATCGGGTTAATGAAAATTTTTACGACGGGGCTCAACGGACTAAATAATCTTTTTCTCGAGGAGCAATCTTTGCGTGCAACCACTGTTGGATGGGAATACAATTATTCTTTTCCTACTTAGTGTGACCTTTTTTTAACTTTCCCTACAAATCATGTTTTCTGCAGAAGGAATTTGATGCAACCTGTAGAAATATATATAAATTTCCTGCTAGATAGAGATTTGCCACATCAACGTTGGAAATCAGAGTAGAGGACAGTTTTTTTTGGTTCATTAACATGCTCGGTTAAGTGACTACCGTTGCACTCCTACTGGAGCTTAAGCACAAGTGGGGCCGGGCCGGATCAGGTTAACTACCGCGAAGTGCAGATATTCCTCGTCCCACTTAAATGACCGGACCACCTCAGACTTCACCTATGTGTTGAATCACACGAAGCCTAACCGTCTAGAAACCCGCTGTATATACGCCGTGGCGCAAATTACTCCTCAGCCTCGGCCACCACGCGCCCGAGCCCTTGATATACTCATTGACTCCAGAATATAAATGTAGTCCCAGATCTCATCGTTGCTCTAGCCTTGCACCTTCAGATCGTTCCGTCGGGTTGTTGTCGTCATTGGGTAGAGGACAGTTTGTCGGGCTCTGTTGTAGTTTCTGGATGCTGTAGGGCGCGCCAGAGCGTCGAGTAATTCTTTGGGGCTGAAACGTCCGGCTCGTGACAATGATCACGAGCTATGCAGTGCCACGACGTTACATTGAATCAAACTCAAACTCCCACGTTACTCCGCATCGACTCCCCTGAGAGTATCGGTCATTTTGCTCATTAAATTGCTGGAAGAAATAGGACATGGTGCAGGGCGCTCAGCTTCGGACACGCTGTATTATTTTTCCGTATCTTTCTATTTTTATAGCTCTTATGGCAAATGAAGCCATACGCGTGGGTAGCAGTGAGTCTATCAAGAGACGAAGCTCTTCTTAAATATTTGGACACATCCAAGTGCATGGTAGCACACAAAGAATATTAAAATAGGAAACACTAATCGGAAGTTAACAAGTGAGTAGATTAAATGTAAGGATGGAGTTTGGGGGATTTAAATTATGTAAATAACGTTCTATATCTAGATAGCTGAATACACTATGATTAAAAAGAGTCTCTCAAGATCACATTCCCGTATTGCGCCTCATAGGTGTAGGGCGTATGCCTGATACGAATAGCATTCAATTCAATTGCATACCATTCCCCTCAAGCCCGCGAGTCTGACAAGTTTACTACAGAGACGTTGGCCCGGTGATTTGCTCTCTGAACCTCGCTTTTTGTAGACTTCACTTAACAGTGGAATGTCTTACAAACCCTCGAATAGAAGAAATGTCATTGACGACATTTCGCAGAGATTCCGTCAAACACCTGATAGCTTAGAACCTACTGAATAAGGTAATGAGAATCATTGGATATTGGGATGACACATCTCGGATTAACCTACTCTGGCTTTGATATCTCACCAGGGATATGGTGATCAGGATGTTCAGGGTAGTCAAAGCTCGAACTTGAGATCTTTTGATCTTCAACACATGTAATATATTTCATATGTAATTTTGGGAAACGAGGAGAAGATAATCTCTTCTCGAGATAGTTTCAGACGGGTATAAAGCATCACTGCTGAGGGGAGCTGTATGGGAGGCATAGGAGGGGATATACTACTGGTATAGGTACCCTTGGCCTGTAGGCAGAGAGGACCTGCATGTCCTACATAGTCATAGACTCAGACAGGACAATAAAATGAATTAATAATAAAGCATCACTGCTGGAGAGGAGTTGAGGAGCAAAGATTTCATCAATACAAGTTTACTTTAAATTTCTCATATGACCCTCAGTGTCTAACAGATTCTCCCGATTGATCTTCGTCGTCTCGGCCTCGCTAATGAATTCAGTGTAGGGAGAAATTTGAGTTTGCCTCCTAATTGGTCTTGGTGCGGTTATGCTAGGACGAGTCGCGTTACGGCGTCATGGAGAATGTGTTTGTGTGGCTGGTCATGGCCTGGATTATAGGGCGCAAGGGTAATAGTCACTAGGAGTGAAGGGACAACTCTCTACGTGACTCCATGACGACCCTATGAATAATGGAGCACTTTATGGAAAGTGTTTCTTGATCTTACTACCGAATGGATGATACTAGAATATTCCGTGATACTTTTTCTGGGAAAATAAGGTGAGTGTCCAACCTCTGACATGTAGACTTTGGGCTCGACCCTCAGAATTAACTAGCAAAAAATGTAATATTCATATTGGAAATTAACCCATATATTAAGGAACTAGCTAGACAGAATCTCAAGTAGTATCTCATAGTCTAGGACCCACTAGAGCATTGAATTTAAATCAATCAATGAAATGGGTATACAACAGACGTTGTTTACCTCCTTCATCCTTGTATTTATGAATATCAAAATATGTCAGGTGTTCAAACTGATTTACCATTAATCATTCCTAAACCTTCAGCTAATGAATCCTCCGTCAGTGCTTACTAATATAGTTATACGTTAATGGGTATGACCGTGATACTTGAGGTGACGTGCTGGTTACAGCAAGTGTGTGGGTTCAAAGATATGAGATGAGTAACTCACGCAATGTGCAGAGAAAGATGATACGAGTACATATGGGTATGTGAATGTATGTATGGTGTAGTCTTGGTGACAAATATATAAATGAGCTGTATATTCCAAGTCAATACATACTGGAGGAGAAAAATGTATTCTACGATACGGTAGCTGAGCCAGTCTCTCAACGCTTCTCTCCTTGCAATTTTGAGCCCAACGTTATCATCAAAACCCTTGAATTTTCACAATAAGCCTAGTGTACTTCTATATCATAACTGTCTGTGGCAATAGACTCCACTAACCTTGTTAAAGACCACAGCGATTCCAATGTATTTTATTTGTATCGTCAACAGTATTGATACGTGTGAGTTCCTTAAAATCAAGTCATGTCAACTTTATGCAGAGCTTGTTCTAGATGCGTGAGTACAATACTAAGTCTTATGCAGAAGAATTTTTGGGAATATCTTAAAAATTCATTCATTGAATAAAGTTCTAGGATCAGATTTCAGATATTTTACATCTATTAAAGCCATTTTGAATTCATCTCAAGTCTTTATGTAAGCCATAATTCATTTATGCTCTCTATTACCCTTGAATCAAAAGGGCTTCAAGAATAAAGAAATGCTCCCTCTCCTCATTCTTTTTGATTAACTTACTCTATTGGACCACACAGTGTGCCTTCAGCATTAAGCTCTATGAAACTATCAGCAGCCACTTTGGCGTTAGTCTGTGGTGGTACTTTAAGTAGTCTATAACTTTTCCAAGAGTTAATCCAAGTCTGCGACTGAAAGATGCTTCTTCTAACATATCTTGGGCTGAATATACAATTTTTTTTTCGAAATAATCCCGTCCGATGTACAAATCTTACTTCACAGCGTAGACCTAGAGAACTAATGCGACTATTGAGATAAGTAGGAAAATTATCTATCTTCCCAAAATGAGTTTTCGAATATTTTTGTCCAGAGATTGGAATTTTCTCGCCACATTTTTCTGGGTTACTGTTGGCGCATATTTTGTCATCAGAGATTCGAGGGGTTCTCTCATCAGATGGGATATGGGCCGCGTTCAAAGTTTTCTCGAGCATCCCAAAATCATGCATAATTTTTGTGAACTCATAAATACCAGGCAAGTTGTCGTAAATAAAATTCATTATAAGTGCCCCATTAGTGGACTCTTTACCAATCGAAGTAATTGGAATCCATAAGTTTTGTCCGTTAGTATCAGATCTAGTTTGTCGTAATAAATGTAGATTCCCTTGAAACCATACCATTGCTTGTGTGTCTGAGTTTGCTTTGCTCCCTTTAAGTAATTGAGCTCCAGCAAGAAATTGTTCAATCTTCAGTGGTATATCGGCATTGATCTTGACAGTATGACTTTGTATTGGCGGAGCGAAACATGCATATTTTCCTTCTACCCCAATCATTCCTTTGAAAGCCATACTAGCTATAAGCTGATGCGTGCATTGATATTTTTGGAGCTGCGACAATGGAGTAGCATCTGATCTGAGAAGTGCCCCTTCAGTGATGGATCTCAAACATGCACTTTCTTCTAAAGTATAGCTTAAATATTTATTTTGTAAACTTTTTGTTGCCCTAGGTAGTCCATCTGTGATCATCTCCACGATCTGATCGTAATGGTGACTTATGGAACAATAAGCAACAACATTGGTACCAGATTTGGTTATCTTGCTGGCAGATATATGTAAGCTGTGAGGAGACTTAGGCATTGGGAACTTTATATCTTTAGGAAATTCATAAGCATCATAAAAGTAGTTTGCATGTTGCAAACCGGTGAGGATCATGCGCGCTTCTGAGGCTAGTAGTATGGCAAGTACACAACTCATTACGTGAGTTTCTCTCGTATCCCTTTGCCGATTACCATGAATTAATCTAGATCCGGGAAAATAACTGTTTTGCTCGTTTTTCAAAAATTGTTTCGATCTCTGACTATGGAAAAATTTAATAGAAAAATGGTCGAGTTTCTAGTGTATTCAGGACCCTAAGGCGGTTTTTAGGTGAGATGAATACCGAAGAGTTAGTGAGATAATTTTCTATCTCTTTGTACCAAAATTAGCATAGATGATTGTGGTTTTGAAAGATTGGGTTAAATTTTGCGTAAATATTTATGAGAAGCGGGCTTTGGAAACTCATGATTCTACTGACTTCAGATTCATGATGCCTCTCGCTCGTTAGTTGTAATGGCACTAGTTGCTAACAAAATGAATACCATTGAATAGTCGGAGGATTCAGGTATTTTTAAAAACTTGTAATGGAAGGATAAATAGCACTTATAGAGGATGACTCGTTATCTACGAAATAGAAACACGATTCGCTTTCAGGACTCTCTTTGTAACCTGCTAAATCTAAATCTGACAGTAGCGATTCGTTTTGAGCTGAAGTGTTAGATTAGATTAGATTTGTGTTATAGTCCTAACTGGGTCAATGACTTTGAAGGACTCCTAGAATCTATAAATTAAATACTAGCTACATGTCTTAAGTTCCAACTGTTCAACTTTAAATTTTGCTCTCATGGACAGTGAGAGATGCTGAAGAGTTTACTACCTCTGCAAAAATAAAATTTCCAAGACTTGGGCCACTTTTACGACGACAAAGCGGCCTGGTAAGGGAAAATATTGCTGTAATGCTTTTGAGATTTTCCAAAAGAAGAATTCCAGAGAACTGAGGATCAAAATCTATGGAATAGACCTAAATCTTGTCCTGCGCGACTGTTCTGGCATGAACTAGTTTGAATATGAAATCTAGGGTTAGCTCAAATTAGCTTTTAGGTGCAAACCCGTTGGAGCCGGGGGTGATCACAACACAGATAGAGGTTTAAATTGTACCCCATGAATTGCCTTTGAAATGTGGTCAGTGGAAATTAATCTGATTTCTAGAACAGTGTTCTTCCATGTAAGACTTCGGGACATGAAATCCTTGTAGGTGTAACGGCTAGTGAGCCGGTAATTACCCTGTGGCACATGATGTTAATCACGTGCTTCACAACTTTACGAAACCACTATTCTATCATAGATTAATCTGGGGATAGCAGTCCACAGTATAACCAGGGATGCAACATAACGCACAGAAAGTCAATCTTCAGCAAATAATCTATATATTTTCTGCTCATTAACCCTCTATCAAAACGCTCTTAGAATAGCTCTCTTAGAGCTATGGCGTCTGTCGACGGTGACGTTGACATGTCGCCACCAGTGCCGCCCACGCGTGCGTCACCTCCCCCCTCACTGTATCCGAATTTAAACCCGCCAAAACGAAAGCTTCGAAACGACCTTCCTGCTGGTGCCAAGGACCCTCAGCCCGTGGCAGTCACTGACTCTTCAGCCCCTACCACGGAAACGCCACCCCAGACTTCAAACCCCCCAGTCAATTCACTCGCCCAAGCTACCGACGAAGCACTTGACGAAGTCCGACAGTTATTTTTCAAACGAGAAGGTATTGCTAGGGAATATTCCAAAGCACTGGACGATGCAACCGGGCGCCTACGCGAAATGGGCTTGGAATATCTCACTGACAATCTCACATCAGCGATTGCTCGGATTCTGCAGCAATTTGCAAGGGGAGAGACTAATTTCAGTCACGTCAACCAACAACAACAAAGGACCTCGCAGTCACAACTTACCCCAGGACAGTTGCAAAATGGACATGCGCCCACCTATGCTCAGGTAACAAGAAGTCAGACGGTCAGTAACGCGAGCTTAAATCTCCCGGAAAAACCAATTCTATCAACTACACCTCGAACAGACCAGATCCGAAAGACTGACAACAGAATCTTTATCCGGCTCCCCCAGGATCATCCCAGCCGTGCTCATCATGTCCACGCCGTCAAGGCAGCGTTAACTAAGAATCTAGAACTGGAGCACGACTCTCTAAAAACAGTTCAAAAAGTTAAGTCGGGCATCGCTCTCGTGCCTACAAATGAGAAACAAGCGGAACAGATTTTGACCAAGTCACAAGAAATTACGGCTACTCTCGGAGGAATAGTTGAGAAAGCAGAGCAATGGCATACATACATCATTGACCACGTACCACGGAAACTCCATTCTCTGGACGGTACCAGATGGAACGTAACAGAAGACTATGCTCGGGAAGAAGTCCAATCAGTCACAGGGTTTACGCCAGTCAAGATAGCATGGTCGAGAAAGTCCAACGAAAACCTAGCCCCAACCGGCACAATTGTGGCCTCATTTAAGCAATCCATTCGTCCTTTTAGAATCTTCTGCACAAGCTCTATCGCCCGGAAAATTACAAAATCACCTAGACCTTCCCAGTGCCCCAAGTGTTGGGGATTCCACGACGCAAGAATCTGTAATCAGGAACCTAAATGCAAACAATGCGGAACAACTGGTCACTTATCATGTCAGGCAGCCCCAAAATGCTCAAACTGTAAAGGACCACACCCTGCGGATGAAAGCTACTGCCCAGCTCGACCGGTAGTGAGAGGAGGAATAATCAGGCCACTCACTCAACCAGAACTCAAAAGGATCCGACAAGCTGGACATCGTGCTTGGCAACTAGTCAACCCCTCAACTCACGCAACAGAGACCCCCTCTGCCCCGACTCAATGTTAGACACAAATAACAGAAGACATAAAGGATACCTGAAAATATTTCAGGCCAATGTTGCCCGAGGGCAACCCAGTCATGACCTCGCCTTAGCCTTAGCAAGGGCTGAGTCAGCCGATATAATCATACTACAAGAACCTTGGATTTTTCCGGACCTAGGAAAGAAAGTTACCAAAACACACGCCGACTTCGATACTTTCAGCCCAACAGATCACTGGGAAGTGAGGCCACGCGTATTAACGTACGTCAGGAAAGGCAGAGGGCTTCAGGCCGTTCAAATCCGCCCGGCAAACACCGCGGACATCTGCTGGGTCACAATAATGGGTTTTACGCCCTCAATCACGATCGCCAACGTATACAGACCACCTCAAGAAACAGAAGGAGGTGCCGTGATATGAGCTCTTAAAGAGTTCCGGGTGCCGCCTAATTACATAGTAGCGGGGGACTTCAATACGAGACATCCGCTCTGGGATTCCCGTGCAACAGCTTCGAGAAAGTCTATAGAACTAGCCGATTGGGCCCAAACAAACGATCTAGTTCTCACATCACCAATTGATAAGAGCACACACAGCAGAGGCAACACTCTTGATCTAGCGTTCACCAACAACCCTCACGTCCAATGTAATATCGAGGAGCATCTACACACAACATCAGACCATGAGACACTTGTGTCCATAGTTCCATGCACTAGGCTCAAGCTGCACTCCCCTAGAGTCCAGTTTAGTCTAAAGCCCGAGAGCATTCCACACTTCGCTGCCGGAGTCAAAGAAACTCTCCCGACCGCCGAGTACCTACCACAGGATGTTGATAGGCTCACAAACTTGATAACCCAAATCATCCAGGTCAATATGCAGCGATTCTTACCCAGGAAGATTCAATCCGGGAACGGGACCAAATGGTGGAATAAGGAGTGTGCAAACAAGGCTGCAGAATATCGGAGGGCTAGAAGGCGAGGCGAAGCCACAACAGAGAAACACGCCTTGCGGAAAGCTACACGGGCAGCTAAGAAGGAATTTTGGATGAAAAAGGTAGAAGAGGCTCGCCAACCTAAGGATATCTTCAAAATCACTAGTTGGCATAAATATAATGGATCTTTCGGCTCACCCCCTATAAAACACAACGGAAGTACGTTCACAGACCCTAGCGGTAAAGCATCTGCTCTCAGTCGGGCTCTACTAGAAAGGAGATCGAATGAGGAGGATATTAGCCTAGAGCTAGAACCAACAGTCACCAAGGATGAACTGCACATAGACGCACTAGTCGAATTAGATGAGATTAAGCAGTGTGTACTCTACGCGGGCAACACCGCCCCAGGGATCGACGGCATCACTACTCAAATATTACGGGCCTGTTGGGACAGCATCAAATATGCGGTACTTCTACTTTTTCGTCGGTGCTTAAGCCAAGGCCACCACCCTAGTGCATTTTGCAGAGCAGAAGTTATCTTTCTTCCAAAACCAAATAAGAGGGATCTCAGCTCACCAAAATCATGGCGCCCCATTGCCCTTCTGTCTTGCCTAGGCAAAGGTCTCGAGAGATTGATGGCTAGAAGAATTAGTCACGCGGCCATCACACAAAACGTGTTAAGCCAACAACAATTTGGGGCACTTCCAAAAAGATCAGCCACTGATCTCGTCGGTTGCCTCGTACACGACATTGAGAAAGCTCGCTCGCAAAGGAAAGTTGCCTCACTACTAACCATGGACATCAAAGGAGCCTTCGATACAGTCCTTCCGGGGCGGCTCAAATATAGACTCAGAGAACAAAGATGGCCTAAATGGCTCATAGGCTGGGTGGAATCATTCGTCACCAACAGATCGGCCCGAATTCGCATAGGGGATTTTTTCACCCAAGAGACACCACTGATTTGCGGTCTCCCTCAAGGATCTCCCGTATCACCAATACTCTTTATGCTGTACATCGAACCTTTGATAAGTCTCGCAAACCCAAGATGCGTCTATAGCTATGCAGACGACATTGCTTTCATTCGCACTGGCAAAACTCTGTCAGAATGCTCAGAAAAATTAGCAAAAGATCTTGAAAAGGTTATAGAATGGGGGATAGGTAATGCTATCTGTAACGGCTGGTAAGCCGATTGGTCCCTGTAGCCTATGTTGGTTAACTTAGGCCTGATTCGAGTGGCGTTATTGATGGCTACCAATGCGCTAATATGCGACGCCACCCAATACAATACTTTTGCGTCGGCATTTGCATGGTATTCACATGGCATCGGACTCGGCAGTGCGGCACGGCAGTACGGCACG